CTATTACAATACCAAAACGATAAAAAAAACCTAGATGAAGTTTAAGAGCATCTTTGTGTCTCCAGAGGACAAATTCTTACAAACATTAAAACCTCATGGTTCTGCAGCCAGCCCAGCGCTGCTGGTTCAATAAACACCTGCCCAGAACAGCTAGAAGCAGTCTGAATAATGAGCCGTTGTTTTGTTTGTTGGCCAGAGTCGACAAACTCCATTCCCGAGACTTCTCATCTCCCAGCGAGCTCCCGGCAGAGCGTCCTGACGGTAAACTCGCCCGCTGCTGTCTCTTCTTCTTCTGGTTGTTTATAAAAATGACTTCTATGTGTTTCTTTAAAAATTCACTCAGTCTCTGCTGAAAGCCGGAGGCGTTCTAGTGAAGACAGGGCTTAGAACAGTGATGCCCAACGCCCTTCCCTGAGGGCTGGTTTTAGTTGTTTCCCTAATCCAACACACTCGATTCACCTACTCAGCAGCTCATCAGGCTCTGCAGAAGCCTGTTAATCGCCTGCTCGTTAAAATCAGGTATTGAAATCAGTAAAACACGCTGGGTACCGGTCCGACGGGAAGGGAGTTGGGGCCGCTGTCCTAGGACATCACTGACAACCCTACACGAGGGTCTCCTGGTTAAAGTTGCTCTGAAAAGCAGCTGAAAGGAGATTGTAACTCTGCAGGATTTCTTTCACGGCAAACACATCAGCAGCCCGACAACGGGGTCAGTGCTCTGAGGTTCACTTGTAGCAGAGACGAAGGACAAAGTCCTCACCGACGGCGTCTGTGGATTACAGCGCAGCTCCTGTTCTCCAGCCTCTGCTTACCGAGCATGCTGGCGGACCGCTTCACAACAAACGTGGCAGAAACACCGAAGAGAACCAGAGTTTTAATACAAATCAAAACCATCCCCAGGACTAAATACAACCATATTTTATTTGACTTGAAGTCGTGTGGTGACACGCAGAAGCTCGCTCGGTCAGAAACAGCTCAGTGGGATAACGTCTGCTGATGTAGTCTCCAGAAAAGCCGGTTTCGTTTATCTGTCCTCCTTGTGGGGTTTGGAGAGAGAGTTCCTTCTTTATCAGCGTTCTGCAGAAAGGAACCGCAGATGAAATGTGGACAGGTCGGTTTCGGCGGAATCACTACCGGCAGCCCTGAGAGGAGGAGATAAGCACCTCTTTGACAGGCTTTGATCACAGCTACAGTTATTCTCAGAACGTCTGTGATGGTAGAACAACGAGACGATGGCCTCCAAACTCACATGAAGTTCCTCCAGCCTTCCCTTCTTCCCCACCCTCTTCTAGAGGCGCTGTCTCACACTCAAAGGGTCAAGCAAGCTCAAACGAGGGTGGCTGACATGCTACGAATCAGCTGCTCAAAATCATCCTTCTGATTGGCTGTCGTGGTGTTCCGGGCTGCAGGAGGACGCTCTGGGTAAGCTTGTAGATATGGTGGGTGAAATGATTCATCGTGGTTTCTGGTTTTTTTCTGCAGAAGGCACGGGAACGTTCAATAAGGGAGTAGTAGGTGTTGAGTCACGAAGAGGAACGCTGGTGGGAAGAAGAAGGTGGAGATGACCTCATCACAGCAGCAGAGAGGTTCGGTTCATTGATGCATCTTTTAAAAATGCCTCCAGACCGCAGCGCCGCTCTAAAGCGAGCACGCCTCCTACACCTGCCTGAACTAAAAGGAGATGCTTTTCTCTGCAGGTCCACCCACCTGTAGGAAGGAAGAGGCCTTTGTGTGTGTGTGTGTTTGATGGCTAAACAAGTCAAATGAGTCAGTGTGTTCCTCTCTGACCTCAGAATGAACACGTGGATTCTTGTGTTTCACAAAGTCAGCGGCTTTCTTGAGTTCACTGTGGTTAGAGGGCATGTTCTGCCAATCATGCGGTTTTATTTCACTTTCACCTCCTGCTGTATTCTGCTCATTAATCCCACACTGATGTCGTTCTGCTGAAGGCTGAGATGCCGCAGAGGGAACTGCATCCTGCACAGCAACGCTCCCATGATGTCATTGCCTCCCACATCGCTGATGCCATTCCCATCGAGATCCACCTGCTGCAGACTCACATTTTCTTTCAGCACGTCAGCCAGCAGCCGCACTCCGGGGTCTCCTAAGTTGTTCTCATCTAAGATGATCTGAGCGAGTGAGCGGTTTCCTCTCAGGCTCTCAAAAAGCTCCTTCCATGCTGCTAGATCGGCACCGCTTGTCTGCGCCAGGCCCAAGTACTGAAGACGGGAGTGGGCTCTGATGTAGGATGCTAACACCCTGACCCCCTCGCTGCTCACACCATTTCCACCAATGTCCAGTTCTAAAAGAGTGAAAACCTGGGAAGAGCGCCACCCGGTGGGGAGCTGCAGCAGCACATTCTGCTCCGTTGGGAAGAGGAGAGCCTGCTGGATGGCGGCGGCTGCTAGGGCGCTTTGCTCCTGCAGCTCAGCTATTCCGGTCATCAGGGTCAGCACGCCATGGTCACGCAGTTTGTTTCCAAACAGGCTGAAGGGAGAACAAGAAAATCTGCGTTTCACTGCAAAAGATGACTTCTGAGAAAGTTTTTTAAAAATACTCGTTTTTAAATATTTCATCTTATTTTTAGTCTAAAAAGAAAAAAATTCTCTAGAAAAATAAATTTACTTAAAATAAAAGTCTTAAAACTGGCAAAATATATATAAAATTTTAAGTTAATTTGCTAGTTTTAAGCCAGACAAGCAGCAACGTTTGCTCACCCTGTTGGCACGTTACTTTTTACTCACAACAAGAACGTTTGGATCACGTTTAAGAATATTTACCTCATTTTTCTAGAGAATAATCTCCTTTCTTTTTAGACTAAAAATAAGATAAAATGTCTAAAATTAAATTTGTTTTACTTAGAAATGATTTTGTGCAGTGTGTACAGTGTGTACAGTGTGTACAGTGTGTACAGTGTGTGCAGTGTGTGCAGTGTGTACAGTGTGTACAGTGTGTACAGTGTGTACAGTGTGTACAGTGTGTACAGTGTGTACAGTGTGCGGCATCAACATGTTCAGTGAGAGAAAATAACCTTTCTAACTTTCTAAGTCAGGAGTGTTCAGACTGTTTAAGATGATGGTAAAAATAGTGAATTTAGTGAATTTATTAGTTATTTTTCATTTAAAAAAATGCAAACAGGACTTTTATAGTGATTTCCTTTGTGTACTCCTCCAAATAGGTCCAGCATAGGCATAAATCACTCCAAGGTCCAGGAAAGGTCCAAAAGGCTGCGCTCTCGAGATGCCTTGCTAAACACCACCAAGTAGTTTCCCTCCAAAACTCTATTCTTCCTTTGCTTTGAATCATTTCTCCTGTTTGGAAGAAAAGAGCCACTAAACTTGTTCTCCAGTCACCATCACAGCTTTTTGTGGTCCTGTGATTATTTGTTGCACATTTTTTCATGAAACTTTATACGTTTCTGAGCTTGTCTAGTTCAGCGTCACGGCTCTTACACCGTCTGGGATAAGGTGAAGCACCGAGGCATTCGACTTGATTCCCATAGAAAATACGTATTTATCTATTCAGCTGGTGAGAAAATGCCCTTGAATTTGATTTCTCTCTGAGAATCTCTTCATATTCCTTACTTTTCTTTCTGCCTCCGTCTCAAACATTTCCAAACGGCGGTCACCCCTGGTGCCTTTTATGCTTTCATTTCACGTTCTTCCTTGGTTTTGGGTTTGGTGCAGCTCGTTAGAAACTTACTGTAAGCCTTTGACCTGCGGCTTCACTCTCAGAACATCCAGCAGGATGTGAGCTCCGAAGGGGCCGATGAGGTTGAGGTTGAGGTTGAGCAGCGTGACGGCAGACGGGCTGCTCTTCAGGACCCCCGCCAGGCTCAGCAAATGATCGTCTGTCAGGCCCGTGTTCCTCAGCACCAGCTGCTCCACCTCCTCAGATGTTTTCAGCACCATCATCATGGCATCAAGCTGCACTTCCAAAGAAAAACCTGGTAAGATGTTTGGAAATGTGGTTTTCTAACGTGAAACGATGCTTTTAGGTTCAAAGGTTGAAGAATATTCCTAAAATGTCGAGAACATCATGATCGTGTGTTTTGAACTTTATCTACTGAACCTTGGAAATATTTCATGAGCTGTGCAACAACAAATGTTTGCAGTGCGTTTGGTTCTTTACTTATTTATAGAACGTTTCTGCATGTTTTCTCTGATCCAGCCGGGGAGCGATGTAGCGTGGGAGCTGATAGCAGCAACAAAACGATAGAAGAAGAGATCACCTTCTCTGACTTTGCGAGAACTGTACCAAACATTAAGCATGTTCTGTTTCTGCATGAGCGAGCGAGCGTTTGATGGTTGGGGAAGAGAGATGAGAGCGAGGCAGGTTTTAAACACAGAGCTGAGATAAAAGCCCAGAGAGACGTACGCTCTGGCCGTCAGCCACGTCCAACATCCAACTTTGCTGCACCTTGAGGAATTTTTCACCCACTATTTGAAGCTTTTTCATCGTGATCGATGTGACGGGGCCAAGTGCCTGCCAACCCCAGAGGAACCTCACAGACCATTTGGTGCAACCGTCGGTGCATTTAACTCTCAGATACACAAATGACTGTTTGGAGTTAAATACATCTGCAGAAAAAATGCTCATTAAATGTCCCCGCCTCTTTTTCCACTTTTAAAGTTTTAATTTGATTTTATTTAGATGTGTTTACAAGATGGGGAACGGATCACATCTCTGTGGGAAAATGGTGTTATGAGCTCTTTATCTGCAGTAGAAATGAAGGTGTGAATGCGACGTGTAGCGTTGTTTGTCCTGAACAACAGCAGCGTCAGCCGTTTTGCACAGAACATCTAAAACGGATTAAAGGTTCAGCGTGTATCATGTGGTGACATCTAGTGGTCAGGTTAGGGATTGCAGTAACTTTAAACAATTGTCTTGAAGACTTTTGTTCATCAGAAACATTCCTGAGTGCTACTCTAATGTTTGTTGTTGTTTTGGGGAGAGGTGTTTACGTTTGTTTTCTTCCTTCTTCATGAGGCTGATAATTAAAGAACAACACATGAAATACCAACAAACTTGTTTGTTTCCTCAGGATGTGTTGGCAAAAAAATCTTTTCTTATCTGAGGTGTTTTTATTTTATTCTTTAGTCTGAAAGTGGTAGCAACATTCAAGGACATCCCTTAAAGGAGACGCACCTTTTGCATCCTTTTGTGCTCCCTTGCAGGTCTCTACTGCCTCTATAAGACTCTTTCAATGTTTAGGTTTATGTATATAAAACAACCCGCTTCAAAAAGTCCCAGTTTGTGATGTCACAACGGGATAGCATCAAATTACTTCCCACATGCAAAAGAGAGCTGATGCTGGAGGAGCAGCAGCTCTACTCCGAGCCCCTCCTAGGTCTCCGAGGTGGGGGTAGGCGTGGCCAGCTCCAGCTTGTTCTCTTAAAGTGACAGAGTCCTGAAGAGCTCATTCTGGAAGGCATTAAAAACGTCGAGAATAAAGCTGCTGCTACCACTACATGTGAGAGGAATTTAATGCAACGAACTTCATAAACAGATTTTGCATCAACCATAGAACTAATAAAACTTAAGAAAAAGTCATAATACGTCCCCTTGCTACTAAAAGACACCCGTGAGTCGACCCAAAGCTCTAATCGGGACCGCCTCAGCTGACTCCTGTCGACACAGAGGAGCGACGGCTCCCCTGCTCCTCGTCTTCCGTCTAAGACTCAACTCAAGAGTGTCTACGAAGGATTCCTGCCTTTTTATTTGGGAAATGATCCTTTTACCTTGTTTTACTGATTGTTGTATTTTTGTTTATGCTTTGCCGTCTTGTGAGGAGCTGAGTAACATTTCTGAACCCCAACCAGAGCATGTGGACCATCACAGATGAACGTTATTTGTCTCGCCATGTGAGTTAAGTGTTGCTCGCTACTGAACTCACTTTTACGTTGTTGTTAAAACAGCCTTCATTTGAATTTCTGGACCCTGCTGCTTACAGCAGGGTTGTGGATGCTTCTCCAGCGTGCACCTGTGTCGGACACACACCTGTGCATGCAGGTCTCGTTCTGTCGCCGGCTCCTCTTCGCCAACATTCTGGGAGGCTGCTTCTTCCTCCTCCTCTGGCTTTTCGTCGGGTTGTGGGATCGTGTCACTTTCTGCACTTAACTCCACATCGGAGGGCTGGTGTTTGGCGCTCGACAGCAGCCTCTTCTGGAGCCGGCACCTCTCCAGGACTTGGCATCCAGAGAGCGAGTGAAAAAGCTCAGGTGTGGTGAAACTGTCTCTTCCTACCAGCTGATATGTAATCTTTGTTCCAGAACTATTGTTTCACCTCGAGTCCAGTAAGCAAACCAGTTACAGAAATCCACTGGGACTCGTTTAGATTCAGGCTCTTTACTCACTGTTTGCCTTGAACCGCTGTTTGTGTGGGCTCCGGCTCAGCTCTGCGCTCATTTCCACACATTCTTTATAGAAGTCCTTTGGTTTTCCCTCTTCCCTGTTTTTCCCGTCTGACTCCAGGTCGATCCGTTTCTCTCTGTTCTGCTGAGTCAGAACCCCCCCACCCTGAAATGAAACTGAAAAGAGACATTTTTAAAAAGCTTCCTGTTCTTTCTTAGTTTTTCCACAAGCCCTAATAACCGGAGAGACCGTGTGCAGAGATCTCGGAGCTCACCTGAATCCAACCCAGACGAGTCGAGCTGCACTTACCGACTGGTTTATGAGTCTTGTTCGACGGGAGCGGTTCTTCCTGCGGTTCTGTGGCTGTGTTGGTTGTTTCTGAGTGCTTTGGTAGTTTTTTCGGCTGTTCTGTAGATTTTCCCGTCACCACTGATGTCTCTAAGCCCCCGCCATCTTCTCCCTCGTTTCCCGCTGTCTGTCCTTTGCTCTCGTTCTGATTAGTTTGACCCTTGCGTCTTTTCTTCTTGGTGGTTTCTTTGGTTCCGGTTACAGCAGGGCCTTCGCTGTCGGTGGACCCCGCGTCTTTGATGTGCTTTCTGGCCCTCCTCGTGGATTTTTTCACAGGTTTGGCTGGTATGAACAGAGGGGATGAGCTCTCGGTGTTGTCTTTAGAGGACACAAATGAGACAAAATGAAAGACAATAATACTTCCTTAGAAATGCAGTCTTTAAACAAAGTCTATTCAATACAAGGACTGGGCCCAATGTCAAGAAATATTGATGAATGCGCTTCGGGAAGCAATGGAAAATTGAGACACTCATTTCCAGGCCTTGTACCGTTGCCAGTGTTCTGCTCAAGAGGGAGGATTAAGTTTTCCTTTGTGCCGTTATTCAGTTGCTGGCAGGAGTTGTATTTGTTTCGGAGACTAGTACATCTGAAAGAGATGAAGAATGTGCTTTCATCATGAGTTAAATTTCCTCCCGTGCACCACCACCAGCAGCATTCCCGCGTGTGGCTAAGTCTGCCTCCTTTTTCCTGGCGTCTCAAGCTGGATTTGCTCAATCTGTTGTGATTACTAATTTCTGCTCCTCTGCCAACGTTTGTTTTCTGTTCCCTCTAAGAGGATGAATTCGGACCTGTGACAGGGCATCCCACCAGCCAGCCATGTCAGCCTGAAGCAGCTCTTCCTGCCCTGCTGGAAGCCCGGGGCGTAGCGGTACTCGCAGCAGGAGCTGAGCCTGGTCGCCACGATGCCGTTGATGTAGAACGTAGCACTGAAGGGGTGACTTCTGTGTCTCTGAGACACAAACTGGAACTGGTCTGGATGAGGAAAACAAAAAAATGACAGGCGTGGTTGTAACATTTGCTGTAAGAGGCTGGTTTAAGCTGAGGCTGACGGTGGGATTACACCAGTCATGAGATTCAGACTGTTGTTCCATCTTGGCATCTAGAAGATAAAAAATAAGTTTAAAAAATATTTTTATTACAATAAATGTTAGATGACATCAGAAGAAAATCCCACAATCTTCACATCAAGGTTTTAAAATATTATACAGATAAATTGTAGTTTAAACACCTGACATGTAAAACGATCTCTGTTCACATCTTTATGTTCATTTCCATTATATAAAATGAAACATCTACAATAAAATTGGCGCTTTCCCATAACATGCTTACATTGTCCACTAGAGGGCAGAAGACCTTAGATCCCATACAGCAGATTTTTGGGGAATGCACTAATGTTGGTAAAGCCCCAGTGTGTGGAAGAAATTTGGCTCTTTAGCACCACACAGTGGCGAGTAGGTACTGCACCTACGGTAGCCCACACGCATCAACGACTTCCAGCTGTCAATCCAGTGATCACGTACGCTCATTTAACTTGGATTTTTTTCTAAATGAAGGAAGCAAAATTTCCCTAAACCAGCAAGGTTGCCATAAGGGGGCCGGCACCATCTCCACACAACGTCTAGAGGGAGAAGATGAACGGCAACTTATCGAAGATCAGAGAGGACGAGGAGCAAAATGCAGAACATTATATCTCGTATGACCCTAAACAGCTACTGTATTTCACGATAGCGCATGACTATAGAGTGTCGATCACAGTTTATGAGCATAAAAACTTTTCTCTCCCTCACTTACGAATGTCCTGTCCTTGACTGCCCCCAAGCGGTGGACACAACAGTGTTCTCTGGCAAATGCCACACATCCTGAAATGGTGTTGGGCTGCATGCACAACCCCTGTGGATGTCGGGCCCTCACACCACCCTCATGAAGTCTGTTTTTGACCGTTTGAACAAACACACGAACACCTGAGGCCCTCCTGGAGGCCATTTTGCAATCTCTGGCAGTTTTCCTCCTCTTCATTCTTGCAGGAAGGCAGTGGTAGTGGTCCTACTGCTGGGTTGTGGCCCTCCTACGGCCTCCTCCACGTCTCAAGATGTACTGGCCTGTCTCCTGGTGGCGCCTTCGTGCTCTGAACACTACAGCACACCTTCTTTCCCCAGCTCGCACTGATGTGCCATCCTGAACAAGCTGCACTACCTGAACCGTCGCAGACACCGTCTCACGCTACAACTAGAGTGGAAGCGTCGCCAGCATTCAAAGGTGACAAAAACATCAGAAAGTAACTGAGGAGTAGTCTGCCGTCGCCATCTGCAGAACCACTTGTTTATTAGGGATGTCTTGCTAATTGCCTATAATGTCCACCTGTGGTCTATTCCATCTGCACAACCACAGGTGGAGATAACTGACAGTCTGTGTTACTTCCTGAAGCCTGGCGAGAATCTACAAGACCGGGGCGAGTTTTGCACTGAGCGTCGTGTAGCATACAGGGGGTTACGAGAGGCGACAAACACCCAGCGACCAATCAGCAACCGTAACCTCGCACAAATTTCTGGCATGTTTGATATTTTGCTCGTCCCTCGTGAGTGCGTCGCATCGTTGAAGCGTCGCTGCGAGCGGCTGCAACCCAAAAAGTACCAGAACCGCTAACGGCACAAACGTGCGTCAACACGGCTCACCAGCTATATCCCTAGTAACACACCTTGTTTGTTTTTTGTTTCGCACTTTTTTTGCACACAATGGCAAGGATTGTGCCGTGTTCCCCGTAGCTATAGTTACAACTCTGACAATGGAGACACTGCTTCTTAGAGTTTTGTCCTGTGTAAGTGTTGTTGACTATTTAACGTCCTGTAGTGTAAAAGGAAAGAAGAAGAAGCAAAAGTATGGAGAAATCTGACCTCAGATCAGAGAAATAATTAAAAACTAGAAGATGAACAAAGGTTCTGATCTCTCTGTAATTCTGGCAAAATCAGCAGAGAAGCCAACGAGCAAGAACATAGCGTCTAGCAGATACGTGTCATTAAATATGAATAGAAGGGGGTATTTATGGATTCTAATATAATATAGAAACAGGGCAGCACTATGAATACTAGAATATACCAGAAATGATCAATCATCTATGGAAAGGTGGAGTAAACAGTGAGAATGAAGTGCTTGCAGGACTTTTTACACTTTTTACAGTCAAATATTTACCGTAAACATTTATTACGGGAATTATGAAAGCACGTACCTCCTGGAGTAACCAGGTGTTTGAAGACACAAATATTTTCCCCTCCGTTGACCTGCTGAAGCACCTTCAGTTCATCCTGGAACGACCCCGACCCTGACCCCCTGCGGCCTTGTCCCAGATAAGTCATCGTCACAATCACGTGGGATTTCTTAGCTTCTCTCTGTGCCGTCAGGACACTCTGCTGTGAAAAAGAGAGTCGACGGAAAGTTTGTACAGAGTTTAAAATTTGCTGCGAAGGAACATGAGAAAGTGTTGCTAGACCAGTTTTTCCGTGTGGCGGCTTGTTCTCTGAGAGGTGACCGATGAGAAGGATCCTCTTCGTTTGTCGTGCAAACGGGGACAGGACTGACTCAGAGCCACTGGGATGGAGCTCAGACTGGAAGCCCTCTTCGGGACGGCCGGCAGGTAAACGCCACCTTTTCCTGCTCTGAGAGCATCGTTTAGCTAGATTTGACACGGACAAAAGAAACAAAATTAAATTGTAAAGAACTTTTATAAATTGCTTTTATGTGCAGCTTACTGCTCTTTCTTATTTAAAACTCCACACCTGATTATGAGATGGGTTAGGGTTAGAAAGCACACATTTAATTTTGTTTTATAAGAAAATCGTAATTTTTGCTCATGTTTCTCTCTCATTTTAATGCCAATAAGTGTGGATTGAATTATCAGTAAAACTATACTACAGTACCCGGGCATCCAGATGAGGTCAGAAAGCCAAACATTATGAGTAGTTTTGCACAAACTTCCTAAATGATTTTTTGCAGGAAAGTTTCCTGCAAAAAAAGTCATTTTTTTGTTGCATTTGTGGGTTTTTTGGTGCATGTGAACTGCTTTTGAGAACGCGAATAAAGCATCTTTGTACATCTGGAAGATTTTAAATGATCTAAGTTTAAATTGTGAAATTTGCAGCCTGAGTGAAAATCCGTTCATATGAAATAAAAAAGCAGGGAAACTAAAGTCTAACCTTGGGGGCCGGTTCTCAAACATCAGCAGCTCTGTACTGATTAAAAAGTGACTCTTACCTTATAAACTTGCACCGAGTCTGGATTCTCCAGCAGGAGCAGCTTGCTCTTTGCTCTTATCAGACTCGCTATGGAGTGGATCATTTTAGCATCTCTCGGCTGACCTGGGATCTGCGACAGGAACAAAATTCATCCCTCAGAAAATGGGAGACGTGAGGAAAACTTTAATAATCTCTGCTGAGAAGATTATAAACATGCTAATGCTAACTCACGGGGGTGTCTCTGTCTCCAGCGGGAACATTCCTGGAAAACAGATCCTGAAGGAGAGTCCTGCTGTTTTTCCTGATTCTCCTCAGTGACTCCCTCTTATCGGACTCCATCATTCAGAACCAGATCTTTGCCCAACAGAAGCAACAAGAATGAGCTTATAAACAGTTTTTGTTCCACTCTACAAGATTTCACTTCCAATTTCATGTTGTTATTTTTTCCACCTAAAAACATCAAGTTCTGGAGCGGTTGCCTCAGATGCTGCTTACTAATAACGGACCAAATCTCTGGGACCAAAAATCTAAATAAAGGCATCAGATGATGATTTGAAAATTATTTTAAACCGTGCATTCAGGCAACGTAGCACAAAACACTTTTAATTTAAATGTAATAAAATAAAAATTAACTTTAAATGACCTGTATTTGATAAAGCCCCCCCCCCCCCCCCAAGGCGCTTTACAACACAATCCATCATTCACCCATTCACACACACATTCAAACGCTGTTTAAAAAGTGCATGATGTAAAAATTAAGAAAGAAGGACATCATGTGGTCAAATGTGGGTACTGCAGTCTGTTTTTATAAACAAGCGACTCTCTTACTCTGCTTCAGCGATACATTTACCTGTAACACTGAGTTGTTGGTGTTTGGAAAAGCAGCTAGAGGAGTTTTTAGAACAGACTATTTGTTGTTAATTCATTGTTTGCATAGTTAGCTCAACGTTAGCCTCTCCTTGGCCGATATTAGAGGAAAACAAAGTGGGTTCTTGGGGGTACAAGAAATAACTTCTGGGCTGCTCCTTCTGCTGGCCGACTTACTGTCCACATTCCTGGCGCTGCAGCAGCTGGAGCAGCCGGCCGCCCCGCAGGCTCACAGAAACAAAGACTACGTCCCTCTTTAGCTTGTTAAAGTAGAAAAACTGTAACCCATCTCCGATGACTGAGACGTCAGGCTGTTTTGTGGTTATTTCACAGTAAAATTCTTATTTATTGTACAGTTCAATTAAAATTATTTAAATAATTAAATTTTAAATTTAAATAAAAAAGCTGAGATTTGTAAAGGATTTTCAGATTTCCTGTGTAATTACAGTGTTCTCATCTCTGTTTGACCAGATAACGTCAGGATTTATACAAGACAGGTTTATAAAACCGATTCACACAAATAATATTTTTAATGTTTACTGGCCTGAAATTAAGATGTTTACACACGCGCGCGCACACACACACACACACACACACACACCAACAGTTATTTAAAGGTGTTGAAACGTGTCGGTGTGTTCCTTCTGTCATAACTGACTCGTAGAGTAAAGGTCATCGTGCACATGTGAAGAAAACGTCTGCAGG